GAAATTGCGGGCTACTTGCCCATGCTAAACAGGGCAGCCAACGTGGAAATCTCGGGCTACTTGCTCGTGGAAAACTTGCCGTTGCTGAACTGGTTGACCCTTCAAGTGTACGAGTTACATTATCATGGAGCAAGGCCAGCATATGCTTGGGTTCTAGATCCCCGGCACGTGCCATACTTGGAGATCGTGGATTCCTGGCATGTTGTATAATTGGAAGTCCTGGCACCATTTTATCAAAGTAAGTAATTACAGTTTCGACAATCACGTCGCTTGCATCCCTTTCTAACTGACGGTACTGATTCACATACAGGGTATATAACTTGAGGAGTACAGAGAAAGGAAGTTGATTTTCAACTAACAGCAGATCGCGCTTTGCATTTCTCCAATAAAAATGATTAAGCCCCCATGTACCGTGGGAAAGCCCAATGATAAAGAATCCATCAAGAAGCATCATTTCTACCAGGTCATCTCCACCAATATGATCCAGATTTTCTGAATAAAATCCGCGAATTTCTTCTTCCATTTCTCTCAAGGCCGTCACATATATCTCCACACTATTTTCTTGTGTGTGATGACGAATCAATTGTAGGTAATTCATTTTCTGCAGCTGCATTGCCTGCAGGTGCTCTTTACCATGGTGGTAAGGGCCAATGGAAATCACTAGAGGTTCATAGGCCTGTGCATTTATCTTGCGTAAATGATTAGGAACTTTGAAAATACCAATCTTTGAAAAATCTACGAAAACATGACCATTGATATTTCGATTTATTCCATCGTGAAGAGCTTCATCTATTCCACCTGCCATTAATGCTCAAAAAAAAAAAAAAAAATAGAACAATCACTGAAAACTTCTACTCATTTGTCCAAATGGAAAAAGAAAAATAAAGTGAATCAGTTAGGTCCAGCTTGGTTTGTGAGAAGGCAGGTCTCAGGGACCGTCCAATTGCCATGTGGTATTTGTTACTAGCATGTGTTTAGCGTGGACTTCCCAAAATAACACATTCTTTATTGCATAAAGAACAAGTTAAGGCAACATCAGAAGGATTAGAAAAAAAGGAACAAGCTAAGGCAAATAGTTTTCCTTTTTTCTTCGGTAAAAAGGCAAATACATTTTTCTAATGAGTTTAAGGTTTTTCTAGATGTTGTTAATTTGTCGAAATAGAAAAAGAAAAGCAAATTGAACCAGTTAGGTCCAGCCGGTTTGGGAAATTGTCATGTAGTATTTGGTATTAGGGTGTGTTTAGCCTGGACCTGGACTTCTAAAATAACACAATCTTTTTTCTTTTTTTTTTGGTTCCAAAAATAACACAATCTTTATTGCAGAAGGAACAAACTAAACGTAGCCATCTCTTACATGGTCAGTTATTTGTGTTTTTAATTACAAATTTAAAGTTTAATTTCTAGACTTCTAGGTATCAACCCAAAAAAAAAAGAAAAAAGAAAAAAAAAAAGAACAGCCTAACGCAACATAAAAATGATAAAATAAAATAAAATACGAGAACAAACTAATTCCAAAACAACACATACCGTCGGCACCCATATTTTCAGAGTCGGAGTCGGCACCCATATATTCAGAGTCGGAGTCGGCACCCATATTTTCAGAGTCGGAGTGTTCTTCATGGTCAACATCAGGAAGATCTGAATCCACAGAAAAAGAAAGATATCAATTTAAGAATCATAAGAGCAAACTCTACGCATCCAAAACAACACATAC